GGTCCACCAATGGGTTGGCTCTGCCATCCATGCATCACAACACTCACCTCTCCTATAAGTTTCCTATCTTTGAAACTTTCGCCACCGCCTTGTGCGGCACTATGTTATGAAGAATGGAATCTGGGCAACGAGCTACAAGTGGCGTGGGTTTTCATCACTTGGGTCTCGGGCTTGTCATCAGCACACTCGGAATCTGACCTACGTTGAGAGCATACTGAGGGTTCCGCGGTGGCATGAGGGCCGCAACAAAATAATGACCGCGCTGCGCTCTGCCGTGTCTTTTCCTCCTCAACCGGGCTCCAAGATCCATCATGCGGCGACAGAAGCACTTCTTCACATTCTTCCTGGCAATGAGGTGGCATTGGCTTAAAGCTGGGTTGAATGTGCGTCTCAACACGTTCACAGGTGTATCTTCGCACCTTGGTCTTTAAGCCAATCATGCCCACTGCGTGCATTAAGCGATCGCGGGGGCTGGACAACTCTTGCTGGTCACTCACACTGGTTTCTGAGCCACCTTTTCAATATCTTTGACACCTGTCATTTTAGTCTGAATCAAAACTCTTTCAAACGACAAACATGTAGAAACATGCGCCGCAAATGTTTAGCGCAACAACGGGTGGAATAGATCATGAAATCTATAATGTTTACAGAGCCCCGCGCCTTACTTTCTGGAATTGTGATGGAATAAATCGCCAAATAATCAAAATATTCATAGTCCAACACCATGCCTGGCCCCAAAGGGGTGCCTCGGTCTTTTGGAGGATGTCTTCCACGAAACCTGTCGCGCTGGTGAATCTCAGTGAATCTCACGCCAGCAGTCGTGTCGCACATGTCGCACGAAATGAAGATTTTGGTTTCCACACCGTCAATCAGAAGCTCCTCCGGGCGCACTCGTTTGTTGCACACCGGGCAGCTCCAACCTTGGGCAGAAGATTTCCTGGAGACAGGAAACCAAACATGTGCAAACTGGACGTTTGGATGGAGGGATCTGCATTTCCACAAGTGGCTGCATACGTCATACGTAAATGCTCTTGGATTCCAGGCGATTGTTGAAAGCAGCCTCGGTTTCCCATTGGGATTTGACAATAACAACGATCTCCAACCTGTCCCACTAGAGTGAGATGTGATGTCGGACCCAGCAAAGAAATCACGACCAAAACAAGAATCCATTTATTTTTGCGCCCGCCTCTCTTGCCTCCGTTCTCATCCACTTGTTTGTTCTTTGTTTCCAGTGCTTGCTGGAAATCATTCTTTCGTTGTATAATACCCCATTTGGCGCCAGGCTGCTACGTTGAACAAGGAGTTACAGAAGAAAGAGCTGCACACTGACTTCATCCCTCAATTTTTAAACAGGCTAACGAAATCTAATGAACATAATCACAGCTATGTTGAAAACTACCCTTCGCATGGTTCGATCCAATCACTGTTCACGACCAAATTGAGATATCTTCGGGCTGATCAGTTGGTCAGAGCTGATCATTGGACCATTGCTCATCAACGTCTTCCCGCGCATTCGGTTTTCTCCTTTGGCTCACATTGCATCCCTGAGTTACCTCCGCATTAGGGTTTTGAACGGCCGATTGCTCTGTCAACACATTCTAGACATTCAGATTTCCCAGCTAGAACGTTCCGGAATCTTCGTTGCGTGTTGACTGTTGGTGTGTGAGATTGGGAAACTGAAATTTGCGCCTGCATCTCTAGAGACTGCACTGCTTCTATTGTGGTGTGTGCTATGTCATAACATATCGAAGCATTTTGGACCTGCAGGCAACCTCTCTCCCGGGATTTCCAGTTCTCTTTTCAGCCTTTTAGGGTCGGATGGGGAAAGTCTCCTTGTAACATATTGTCCTCAACTATCAGGGCCAAGCTGGACCTAAACTGTCTGAAGCTCAAAGTTTCTCCTCCTTCGCAGTTCGCGTGTGCGTGCTGCTCTTGCACTAGTGTATTTGTTCCAATTCAGATCGGGTCAACAACCATTTCGCTTGCATGTTGTTGTAAGCAAAGTGACACATTGCAAAAAAAGGCCGATCAGGCGATCACAATAGATCAGCAAATTGCAGCAATCAGGGGAGCCCTACCATGCCGTAGTTGCTCCTCGCGTCAAGATTTCTTCTTCAAGAAGAAAAGAAAATTCACAGCTCAAAATGAGGAGGGAATGTGGATAGGATCGGAGGTCTGTCTTTGCAGAGAATGTTGAACAGACTCCACTTGAACTTTCGCAAAAAAAAATGATCTCACCAGCAAGGAGCAAAATGTATCATGATGCCAAGTTGTAACGATATCAAGCGCTGCTGCAACCATGGTAGCTGCACGGCATCTCCTGCAATAAGCCGCTAGGCCAAAACAGCGAAGGTGACGGCATCGCCTCCCCAATGTCGGGCTGAGCCAGACAAGTAGCTGTAGCTGTAGCTATCTGTAGCTGTTGGATCCCAATGGACATTTTCTGAATTTCAAAAGCCTTTTTAAACCCTGTGTCCTGTTGTGTCCTGTTGTGTCCTGCTGTGTCCTGCTGTGTCCTGTTGTGGCTTGCATGATTTGGGTGTGATTTGGAATGCCCTATGTGCCGAAGATTTGTGGACAGCCTGCCACGGGCGGGTCGCTCCACCCGCGCTAAGGCTACAGGGCACAGCAATGATAGCTGCCGCGAGGCCTCGGGCTGTGTCTTTGTATCAAAGAAGATTGAAGTGGTTTTTGAAGTGGAATAAAGAACAAATAAATAAAGTGGAATGAAGCGGAATGAAGCGGAATGAAGCGGAATGAAGTGGAGTTTTGAAGGGTTCAGATTGCAGCAGTCCAACTTACAATTTCAGATCTCAAAGCCCGTCGTTTCTTCTCTCGATATTTGGTCCGAAATTAATCACTCACACTGAAGGCTGTAAAGGAACAGCTGGGACCAGGATCCGCACAACAAATTCCAAGCCATCCTGGTTGCGGCTGGGAAGTGGCACGAAGATTCATCCCAACAAGGAGGGCACGTGGATTGTTTGTATTGTATGTATTAGATGCATTGAATGTATTATATAATCATATGTGTATGTATGATTTGTCTTGTAAATGTATTAATAATATATTATATCATATGTATTGTAGGTTTGCTGTCTGGATCAAACTGTCATGAAACTTCGTAAAATCGCACTAGAATAGCGTCAGCCTCCCAGCGACAAAATGCACCGATGCGCAGCGGCAGCAGCACCAGCACCAGCACCCCGCAACAGCAACGCACCAGGGCCACGCAACCACAGCATCACAGAGCTATACGGCACCCAAGCTCACTTGGAAGTCAGATCTAAGGGAATACATTACGGTGGTACGGTACGGTCAGTGGGTGCAGTGGGTATACAATGGGTACGGTACAGAGGGTACGATGGGTACAGTACGATGGGTGCAGGGGTACGCACCCACCGTATACCCACCGTACCGCACCCACCTTACCTACCGTACCCACCGTACACACCGTACCGTACCACCGTATGCCCACTGTACCGCACCCATAGAAAGTGTCATATGATGTCATATGTACCTGCCCGTGCTGAATCATCAGAAAACATGCTTTTCATTGCTGTTGAAATTAGATAAGAATCATCAGTATCATAAACTATACCAGTAGTACCGCACAAGGCGGTGGCAGAAGTTCTAAACACAGGATAATATAGGAGAGGTGAGCCTGTTGTGATGCATGGATGGCAGAGCAAGTCCGCTGATGGACCGAAATGTGGTTGGAGTTGTGTTTGCAGTGGTCACCCCACCCACAACTGCTGGATGAAGCGTGGTGTAGTGTAGTGTCGCGTCGTGTCGTGTCGTGTCGTGTAGTGGTAGTGTTCAGTAGTGTTGTGTAGTGTAATGGTAGTGGTAGATAATGCACTTGTAAATGTAGTTGTGGTTGTAATTGTACTGGTAGTTGTAGCTGTAGTTGTTATTGCTATTGCAGTTGTAGCTGTAGCTGTACTTGTTCTTGTTCTTGTTCTTGTTCTTGTTGTTGTTGTTGTTGCTGTTGTTGTTGTTGCTGCTGTTTTTGTTGTGGCTGTAGTGTAAGGGTAGTGTTGTGTAGTTGTAGTTATGCAGTTGTAGTTGTGTAGTGTAGTGTAGTGCAATGTAGTGTGTGTGTGTGTGAACTGTAGCGCAGTGTAGTGTAATGTAGCGTAGCACAGTGTAGTGTAATGTAGTATTGCGCTGTGTAGTTGTAGATGTACATGTAGATTTGGTGCGGTATAGCGTAGGGTAGTGCAATGTAATGGAATATAGTGTGGTGTAGCGCAATGTAGTGTATTGTGAGAATGTAGTGTAGCACCGTGCAGTGTAGCGCAGTGTGGTGTATTGTACGAATGCAGCGTAGCGTAGCGTCGTGCATTGTAGCTTAGTGTAGTGTCATGTAGGTGCAGTGAACTGTAGTGTAGTGTGGTGTAGCTGTAGCTGTAGTTGTATTGTCGTGTACTGCAGTGGTAGTTGTAGTTGTAGTGTCGTGTGGTGCGGTTGAACGTCCAAAAGTGCCCGAAAGTAGTGTGCTTTGCCCTTTGCACATTGTGACTTCGAAATGTGCTTCGCGCCACAACGGCGTGCACTTTTTAAACATCTCAACTTCCAAAAGCGCTCGGAACATAGCGTGATTTGCGCATTTTGACTTCGAAAGGGTGCGGATTTTGGGGGGATTGTTTTTTTCTTGTTTTGGGATTTTTTTTTTGGTCGTCCAGGCTCCCTTCCTTGGTTTTTGCAACTAAAATCACTCATTTGCTGCATTTTGTAGCTAAAATCTCTCATTCGCACTGTTCATCAATTTTTCGACTGGTTTCAGTTTTTTTCTTAACTGGTTTCTATCGAGTTTTCCATCGTTTTCATGGTTTTCTTCACTTTTTCCATGGTTTTCCTCAATTTTTCCATAGTTTTCTTCAATTGTTTCTATGGTTTTCTTCGATTGTCTCATGGTGTTCTTCAATTTTTCCATGGTTTTCTTCAATTGTTCCATGGTTTTCTTCAATTGTTCCATGGTTTTCTTCAATGTTTCCATGGTTTTCTTCATTTTTTCCATCGTTCTCTTCAATGTTTCCATGGTTTTCTTCAATTTTTCCATGGTTTTCTTCAATTGTTCCATCGTTTTCTTCAATTGATCTATGGTTTTCTTCGATTGTTCCATGGTTTTCTTCCATTTTTCCATGATGTTCTTGATTTTTTCTATGTGTTTCTTCAATTTGTGCATGGTGTTCATTCAGGTTTCACTTGTTTTCATTTCTGGTTCGACAGTTTTTCATTGATTTTTACATGGTTTTCATCGTTTTTTAATGTTTTTTATTGATTTTTTTTGTTATTTTTGGAAATACAGGATGTGCAAACTACAAATTGTAGATGTAAAGAGGTATATATATATATGCATGACTAATCATGACTATATGTATATGTAGATCAGTGCGTTTACACGTGTATTTAATATATATATATGCAGGGTTTGGTTTAGGGTTTATTTAGGGTTGGCTTAATGGTTTCTTCTGGATTTGTTCAGGGTTTATTTAGGGTTGGGTTGGGGGTTATTTAGGGATACAACATGTACATACAAATAGCTATAATTACGTGACTATTTATAGTCTATTTTGGGATCAAAGCTGTGTATAAAAACAACCACAAATATGTCATATATATATGTATATGTCTGTATATCTATAAGTAAATATGCATGTGTATTTATAAATAAATTTACTTATATATATATAAGTACATAAATACTTATATATATATATCAATATATATATATACATATATATATATAAATGCATATATATATATATACATACATATATATATATGTAAATATGTATTATGAACTGGGTAGCGGCTCCACTCTTCAACCAAAGGTGTCCCTGACACCAAATCCCAGGCGCACAGCACCTTTTTCTCCAAAACCTGCAAGCTGTCCTCAGTTCCAAATGTGCAGTCCTCTGCACAGCCAAGCCGCAACCAAATGGCATCAAACGCCACCCTCCCGCCGCATCAAGATTGGGCTCCCTGAGCCTGAAATCCTATGGTGGATAAACACCTAATTTCACATGGGTTACATCAAGGATTGACCAAAGTGTGTGGCTGGAAGGCTGCATGAACCCTAGCTGGAAGTGATCAAATGTGCATATTCACACTCCTTAAAACTTCTATGTTTTTGAAACTTTGGTGCACATTTGATCATTGGACGTCCGCAACCACTTCAAGCGATTTCGGGCAGAGGCTCTGTCTTTGAATACTTCATCAGCATCATGAAGGCAATATTTACCCTGACGAAGGGTTTCCCGTAGAAAATTGGCTTCCATGATTTTTGTCAAAGCGTCGGCTAGCTGCGCTCCTGAATGTACCCAGTGTAGTTTAATGCCTTCTGCAAGAATATCCTTTATTGATCTAGCTAACAGCTGTGTGCGATATTCCTGGCAATTTGGGATGGCAGTTCTGGTGGTGAGATCATACAAGCTTTTACAATCGGTTATGGCAAGGTCATGGGTGTTAGCTTTGAAAGTGGGAATGGTTATTGCTGGGGGTAAATTGGTTACCTTTTCAGGTTTCTGCCATTCCACTCGAGGATCCAAGAGCCAGGCCCAGTACAAACGCAACCACGTGAGTTGATCTAAAGTAGTGGAAAGAGCTGTCGTTTCGGCTGACAGCGTGCTCGTCACGATGCGTTGAATCGTTTTGGTTCCCCAAGAGATTGGACTGATGGCACATGACTTGTTTTGTGAAATTTCTTTATGAGTGGCTAATATGATCATTCCTGCATGGGATTCAGGTTTTGACTTTGAGGCAAATGAAGCATCTGAAAACGCAATAAATCTCAAGTCCTTCAGTGGTATTGGTTGAATCTTAATGCTCACATCACCTTGCTTTTTGGCACTGTGTAAAACTTTGTTTGCTGTTACCAATGTGGACACTTTGGCTTGATTGATTTGAGATTGCAAGTGGCTCAAGGCACTGGATACATCGGGTCGCGTATGTACAGCTGCGTATTGCAAAGACCCTACCAAACCTCTAAGATGGTGTCGTTCTTCTTCTGTTACCATCTGATCTTCTTGCATTCATCGCTCTGGTTTGATGGAAATTGCTGGGATGTTGTTCACATATTTGGACTGGGACAAATGGATACTGTTGTCGGGTAATTGATGAAGGTCAATTCCTGTGAAAGTAAAAGATCTTGATTTCTTTGAGCCAAAAGGATACTTCTTTTCAAGCTTTTGGATTTGTTGGTGGAAGTAGGCATTGCCTCCATAAATCCCATCATCTACGTGAACTCCCAAGGCACCACATAGTTCTCCTGTCTCTGGATGACGGAGCGTGAACAAGCATGGATCGAATGGCGATGCGGTCATTCCAAGGTTGAGCAATTCTTCACACAGTGTTTGAAACCAAAGAAACGGAGCATCAATTAAACCATACGCTGACTTATCTAATTTGCAAATCTCATCAGCTTTCAGCTTCATTGCAGTGGCTAGTTCTGGTACTGGTTCCAGACCCATCACACGATCCTGTTGTGTTCTGCCTTGAAGAAAGGCGGCACGTATGTCAAAAGACTCCAAAGTCCAGCCACAGGATGTGATCAGTTGAAGGAGCAGCATCTTTGATTGGCGACCAAGTGTGGGACTATCCCTTGGAACCTCTGTTAAATTTGGATCTAAATATCCCAGTACAACTAATCTTGCTTTTGCCTTATGGGTTCTAAGTTTGGAAGACATTGATGTCTTTTCACTTTCCTTGTTTTGCTCAGGTTCTTTGTCCTTCCAAACAAGTAGCCATCGGCATCGCATGATCTGTTCTGGGGCCAACTTTGATCGCAAGATTTTTGACACTGTACCGGTGGTTAACCAATTCTGGACCTCGGTTTCTTTTGCCTTTTGGAAGGCTGCTTTCTCTTCGGCATTCAAAGTTGACAACTTTACCTCTGTCCGCTGTCTTTTGTCGGCGGTGGCAAGGAGGATGTCATCTGCAGCCATGCATGACCTGTCCTGGTGGACAAGGTAACTGGGAACTTCCATTTCGAAACGCCATGCACATGGTGTTTCTAGTGGATCAACATTGAGGGTTGTTCTTCATCATCACAGCACAACAAGTGGGAGGTTATTAGGGAATCGTCATTGTCATTGATTTCTGGTATTGGTGTATCCAAGGGGTTATCATTGATTGGATCTTCTTGATTGGCATTTGGATCATTGGAAAGGTTTTCTGAAGACGCACCTTCAGGTTCATTGTCTGGTTGATCTTGAGACAGGCTTGAATTGTGTTCAGATGGTGCTTGAGAAACACCCTGCGCACTTGGTGCTGGAAGCTCATTCGGAACTGGCTCGGGGGTTTGTACTTCCGTGGGCAGGCTACCCTGATTGGCCTCATTGGGAATTTCATCCATGGGCACTTGTCTAGCTTCTGCGGATGACACTGGTCTCACATGTTCTGGAGCACGTCTGTGAAGTTTTCCCCCAGCAGTTGCCCATATTGAGAGATTGTGATCTTGTTGGATTACTTTCAGGGGACCAAACCAGTAACCGCTAGAATCTTTCTGGGGCTGCCACATCATGATCCATTCACCTGGACTGTAACCTTGGCGATCAGGCCTGGTGCGTCTCAGGCATGCCCTCCTCAAAGCCATGTCGTTATCCACCTGATGATATGCTATCCTGGCTTTTTCGCGGAGTGCCAGATTCTGCCTGAAAGCGATGCCTTGTGCATCTTCTGAGTTGGCACTCGCATGGGCAGAAATCTCATCGGAACTGATGTTCGATCCTGGCAATTTGGAATTCTTTCCAAACACTAGTACTTCTGGGGCAAAACCTGCCCGAATGCTCAACGTGTTTTTGGCATGTGTGCATTGGATTAAAGCCTGTTGCAAGTCTTTATAGGTGGTGATAGGATTGTCAATGTCTATCTTGTTTAACATGGATTGCAAAATCTGACCATGTCTTTCGCACCTACCGTTTTGCCAGTGTGCATGTGGAGACGTGACCACACCTCGAACATCATGGCGTTGAAGGAACTCCCCAAGCATTTCGCTGGTGAATTCAGTTGCTGAATCCATGATTAAGGTGTTTGGGGGACCTGCCCACAAGAACCAGGATTCAGAAACTTTGTTGATGGCTTGGTCTGCAGATCTACTTGGGGCTGGTACTGCTACATGATAGTTTGTGGCTTGATCGATCAAGTGATAAAAATGAAACATTGTCCCTGCCTTTGAAGTCCAAGTAACACCATCGATAAAAACTTTGTCGTTGAAATCCAGGGCATCCTTCAAGGTGCTTGGTCTGGCAATTTTTGGCTTTTGACATGTCGCGCAGGTTGAGCACTGCAGGTCAAAAACTGCTTGACAGATCTCTGGGCGACACCCTTTGGAACGGAATACAGCACTCAATTGTTCTGGACTGGGATGACACAAATTTTGGTGAGCTCTTTTAATCATGGCTTGTTCTTCTTTGGGTAAGGCTCGAAATCTTGGCCCATGTCTTTCCAATCCAGTTGAGTTTGGTGTCTCGATGGCTGGCGATACTGCTGATGGCGGTCTTCGATCCTTCTCCACGGGTGCTGGCTTTCTGACAATGTCTGGACCAACTTTGTTGGGATCTTCTTCACTTGGATTTTCATTGATTTGATTTTCTGGATTTTCCCATTTGAGGCTTTCTGGGTTGGCTGTACCGTCATCGGCGGCGGGCTGATCTGGGGACTCAGCTTCAGGCACGGTTTCGGAACTGGGCATTGGACTCTGGTGGTCCTCTGCTTTCACGGCTGCAAACATCGTTATATTCACTCGACAGGCTGGAGACTGACGGATGATCTGTCTTTTGGACAAAATGTCATACCTCTCCCATGCTGGGTCCAAAATGATTTGTTGATCTTTGCGAAGTCGAATGATGGATCGGCGATATGGTGCCTCTTCAGGATTGATGTCACTTGGTGGTTCAAATCTCCTATCGGTTCCCTTTCCTGCCAAGACACGTACAATTTGGTATTTGGGAAATATCGCATTCAACATTTGCAACATGTTGGGACTATTGATTTGTTTCTTTCCAACCCTTGGCAGCACTGCTTCAATTTGTTGCAAAGCTTTCTCAATGAGATCTTGTTGACAGTCTGAGTTGTTGTTTGAAATCGGTGATGATGCTGATGTCTCTTCACTTTGATGGTTTGTTTTCATCCGTTTGGCCTCCCCCGGCTGTTCGAGTGCGCCAGTCGCAGCTTGAGTCTTGACCCCTTTGGATGGGGCCCTTCGCAAACGTTTGGCTGGTCGCTCTTTGACTGCTGCAGCAAGAACTTCATCAATCATTGCGTCGATTGTGAGCAAAGCATTGTCTATCATTGACCCCATTGGTTTTTCAAGGGGAAACCGCTGCTTTAACATGGTCTTGGCAATCAGTCTGGCGAACTTCCTAGGGTACAGCTCGGAAAATTTGGCTCGGGAGATTGTTCAATCACCTGGTGATTATGTTTATGGTCACATTTCAAGGGATCCAAAGTCTCGTACATTTTCCTGGAAGTGGTGTTGATCTCAAGACCCTTTTTTATGGGTTGCATACTTTGTGGATCGGTCAAATCACCTGCATTACACAAGTCTGGTTTTGCTGCAATCATGTACCTACTGATTTCTTGGACCTGTGGAAGCTTCATCATGAGAGATCCCTTCGGCTGTTCCCAATGGGCATGTTGTTGACGCCTCTGCTGATATCTACAGAGCACAAGACACAAGGCAACCTGGATGAGCATGTCAGCGCGGTCACTGTTAATTTGATCCCAACTTTGGAGGGATCTTTGGCAGCTGAACTGGGACCACTTGCTCCATGGACCACATGTGGGACTCATCCAGGTATTGTGCGGCTGGTGTCTTATGAGAATTGAAAACAATTCTCGGCGGCCATCAGGTTTTGTCAGATCGCCTTGGTCAAGGCCGAATCTCTTGGCTGATCCTCCTAATTGATTGACTTGGTTGGTCAGGCTGCTGTTTTGGCTGCAGAAAACTTCTAGGAGATCTAATTTCTTGGCAGAGGGTTTGACAATCTTGGACATCTGAGTCAATTCTGCTTCAATCATTTCGCTTGGTGGTTATTTGGTATGGAATGGCAGAAGCTGTCAATTTCCCCGGCCTTCAGTGCCCAGTCGCTACGGCCATAGTCCTCAATCAATTGTTCCAGGGTTCGTCCCATTCGGCCGTTGCAGTCTCTGGGATTCCTGCTGGCATCGGGCGGTCGGCCCCCATGGTGTTCTGTGACATCAACGCGATCAGCCTCTGCATGGCATTCTCCATGTTCAACATCCTGGCCTGAAGGCCGTGCATCTCTTCTCGGGCTTCTTCTCCGGCAATCCAAGGGGTCTCGCTCATCACTTCGAAGGGGTCTGTCTCGGACTCCACTGGCCATGTCCTGGGAGTTGTACTGGCTGGCATCACCTTGGGACGTGCGGCCAGTGATTTCGGAAGGCTCTTTGCCTTGGCAATGGGCATCTGTGTCGGTCCCTCTGTGTTCTCTGTCTCTTCGATCTTGAGGTGAATGTACCTGATCATCTTGCGATGTTCCATCTTGCTGCTGTTGAAATAGTGAGCCGCAAACCATCGTACCCAATCCGGGTGATTGGACCATATCTCCTCGTAGGGCTTGCCGACGTGGGCTTTCCCGAACGTCATCAACTCTCCCTTCAGGTCTTCCATCGTCAGGTGCTCGATGGATTCCTCTTCCGCAGGAGGCAGAGAGGACTGAGCTTTGGCCAGTCTCTGAGCAAAGCTGGCCATGTTGAACAGGCGGTGTTTTCGAATGAGCTGGAGCGTCACAATCTTGAGCGCAAAACTTCTGAGTATTGGGACCTGCTGAGTCATTCCTATGGATAACAGGACTTCCAGTGGTGGAGTCAATGTTGATTTGAGGTTGGACTTCACCTTGATTACCTGCCTGATGGTCTTCTACTGCATTGGAATGGATTGCTTTGAACCCTACCTGTGGCTTAAGTTCAGGCTGGCTCGATGATACCTTTTGACCACTGTCGTGATCGTCCTGTGCATAGGTCTCGGCAGCTACTTCGGCATTCCCAGGCACTGGAGAGATTGCAAAAAGCTTGTTCATGTCTATGAGGTATAAACCCTTGGGTGAAAGTTGCAACTGAACTTGAGTCTGGTGTTTCGGGATGACAAGTTGGTGATTGGCAGTGTCGATCATTGCTCCAAGTGCTCTGAGAAGAATATTTGATATCAAAAATGGAGTTGACCCTTCCACTACTGAAATTTTCAGCCACATGCCGCAGACTGGAACAACCATTGCATGATTCGCATGATTCGCTTTGAGGGTTCCTTGATTTCCAAGGCGGAAAACCACATTGCTGGAACTTCTTCGGACACAGTTTCTAATGTTTGGGGGTAAACCATCTAAGAACTCTTTAACATGACTACTCCCCATTACAGTCTTTGTGGCCCCTGTATCTACAATCCCCCAAGTGTCATGAGTGGCAAAGCATGTTTCGGCTTCAGCGGATGCAGTGGCTTGCATTGGGCCCTCCACTGGTGCATGTTTTGATTGGGTTGCTGCTTTTGAGCACCCTGGGAACACTTTAGATACCGTCTGGTCACTCGGCTTGCATTCAGGGCGCAAAATGCGCTTGCTTTGGTGGAGCGCTTCATGGTGCAGGTTGGAAGTCTTGGCCTGCTGGTGCAACTTCATCTCAATCCTGTGCACGAGAGCTTGGACTCCAAAATTAGATCCCTTATTACCCTTAATATGGTTTCTAATTTTCTCCCTGAGTACCCCCATGTTACTATCAGGCTTATGGATGTTCGGATGCATTTTGGCAGGACCAGTTGAAAAACTGACTGTACAAAACATGATGCATTGGACAAAATGTCCTGGGGCGGATGCTCGAGCACTTCGGGAAGGTCCATGAACTCTTCTGGCATACAGCTGTCAGAGGACTGGGCATTGGAGGCAAGCGACACTGTGACGGCTGCAGAAGAAGACACGGTCGATGATCCCTGGCTTTTCATCGGGCATTCATTTCGCCAGTGACCCTTCTTGCCGCAAAGTCGGCAATTTGACTCTAGAATTCTCTGCTGCAGTGTCTTTCTACCATTGTTCCAAGGGCCTTTGCCTTTGGAGCGACCCTTACCCTTTGACTTCCCTTGCTGATAGGCCAAAAGCCTCTGGACCTGTACTTTTCACTGAGTCTGCGCCTGGCTTCCATGTACGTGCTGAACGCAGCTGCTAAATCTTCATCCTGTTGAACGACTTCACTAGCCGCTGCCTCAAAATCAGCTATGAAAACAGCATCATCATCGCCATCTGCTAAGAGGGCTTCCAACAAGTCCTCCTCATTCCAGTCATCATGTTGAGTCATGTGTGCAGATTCCTCATTGTCACCTTGAGAATCCTGATCCTCAGCAAACAACGTCATGGAGTCGTACACCTTTGTCTTGTTCACTTTCTTTCCAAGACCCATCATTTCCTGGAAAAAGGACGTTCCAAGCATCCTCACAGCTTCGCGAACCCTTCCGACAGTCAAAGTCCCTTCAAGGGAAGAGTCAGAATCTAAGATGATCCGTTTCTTATCTTCACTGGACAGTTGGGCACCCCTTAGGGTAATGTAGGCCTGAAGGTCATCAAGCTGCAGTTTCTGTGATTTCAACTTTGACCAGAGTACATCAGCTCGAGCTAAGTAAGAATCGTGTGATTCGTCCTGTTGCTGGCTGCACTGAAACAAAGCTTTCTCAGCGTCTGCATATCTCTTTTCCAGTCCCGTTTTACCCCAGTGTCCTCCCAAAAGTTCTATGAGCTTTGGCACCTGCTTGGCATCATTGACGCAGAGTTCTGCGCTATGCAGTTGGAGTTGTGCAAAAGCGGAACCTGAGGTATTCAGTATCAGTCGTGTGATCAGTTCGGCGATCTTACCTTGTGGCCACACTGACAGGACAAGCTGAACCTTCTGCTGGTACGTTTGCAAGTCATCCTTGCTTGGATCAAAACTTGGCACTAAGGAAGCTAATTGGGTGGAGACTCCACCAACAGCTTCAGCACCCCCAGAGGTCTCCGACATGTAAAGACGTCAAGCTTGTGTCCACCTCCACAAACTTAATCTCCAATCGGCACCAGTGGTAACACCTGGATGCTCCTTGAGCTCAAGGAGCTCCGCTACCAGTATGAACTGGGTAGCGGCTCCACTCTTCAACCAAAGGTGTCCCTGACACCAAATCCCAGGCGCACAGCACCTTTTTCTCCAAAACCTGCAAGCTGTCCTCAACTCCAAATGTGCAGTCCTCTGCACAGCCAAGCCGCAACCAAATGGCATCAAACGCCACCCTCCCGCCGCATCAAGATTGGGCTCCCTGAGCCTGAAATCCTATGGTGGATAAACACCTAATTTCACATGGGTTACATCAAGGATTGACCAAAGTGTGTGGCTGGAAGGCTGCATGAACCCTAGCTGGAAGTGATCAAATGTGCATATTCACAATGTATGTATATATATATATTTAAACATAAATATAAATATAACCGAATCAAACTAGCCTGCCTTCCTTCCTTCCTTCCCTTTAGGTTGAATATTTTTCTGATTGCAATAATAGTTTTGTTTGTTTTCAATAATAACTGTTTTTGATTGCATGCGCAAAGAGAAAGAGAATGGTACAAGAGAAGAAGAGCCGTAGGAGCCACAGGAGCCGACGGAGCCATAGGAGCCGAAGAAGCCACCGGAGCCGACGGAGCTATGAACCAAAGAAGCCAAAAAGCCAAGAAGCCACGAAGCCACCAGGAGCCACCAGGGACACAGGAGCCGAAGGAGCCACAGAAGCCAGGAGCCACACAGGGAACCGTAGGAGCCACCAGGAACCAAGGAGGAAAAAAAAAAAATTACCCTCCACTTCGAAATGTGCTTCGCGCCAACCGCATGCACCTTTTCGACATCTGAACTTCCAAATACACTCCGACACTGATGTGTGTTTGACAGTTTGACTTCCACATGTGCTTCGCACCACAACTGCGTGCAGTTTTTCGTCTCTCATCTCCCCAGATGGCTCGGCACCCGCCGCTTTAGCGAGCCTATTTTTCGACTCTCCGGAGTCACAAAACAGTGGAAAACACAGTGTTTCGCGACTTTTCACCTTCTTGCGCACCTGCATCTTCTTTCTTCTGACTCTTTCTCTTCTCTGATTGACTCTTTCTCTTCTCTGACACTTCCTGCTTCTGCTTTTCCATCTGTCCATATTGTCGGAAGTTTTCTAAACTTCCTTCGATCATCCAGCGTGCTCAAAATTGTTCCCGAATGTGGTCAATTGCTCAAAACCATGCTTCCTGGAATTCCAAGAAATTCTCAGGTAGAAAATGCTAGAAAATTGATGAAAACGGTAGAAACACTTGGGGTTCCTACAACACAGGGTTTGTCATTATCTCACCACGCGTTACGATTCACGACGGGCATTGCACCTCTTCAGAGTTTCTCAAGAGCGTTAAGAGCTTGGCACGAGCCTCTGGTGCTTCCTGCCTGCAGGACTTGGGAAACAGAGATATGCAAGCGATGTCTTTCCTCAGAAAATGGCCGGCCCATGGCCTGGGTACCTCCAGGCAGAGCCGCCGTGGAGCTTTTGGTGCGGCCCTGACCAGCCCCAGTGCCAAGCCCTGGGCATCCGTGAAGCGCAAGCGCAAGACCTCAGCAGATCGGACACCGAGGCTTAAGGCTTAAGGCCACGCACCCCACATTCAGCACCTTCGGAACACATCAGGTTCAACATCATCTAAGACTTGCAACATGTTCAACAGGATTCTGATCAACTTGGGGTACTTTCAGAAGTTTCACCTACTCAGTCGGGATTTGAAAACGCGAGTGAAATCATGACGTTTTGGTCGAACTGCAGAAAGGAAATGGAATCGCAATTTTTTCAGCATCATGCATGGTAAAACCATGTAAAACCGTTTGACACACCCACGGGAATCCGCACATTTGGACCTGCTTGGAGCCAATCAGTGATGTCTTGCGGCACATCTCGCCGCTTGTGTCCCTGGGCCACAGGGCACATGAGAAGCTGGGCCGCCCACGGCAGTCCATCTAAAACACCCGCGCTCGGTTCTCGAACCCAAGAGACTTGAAAAGACATTCTCCAGCACATTAGAAGCCTTTGCATATGTGTATATTTTAACCTATATATTTTATTTAGGGTGCAGATTTTTTTTTGTTTTTCAGTCTGGGGCACTTTTCCTGGTTATTTGCTACCTTTTGGAGCAAAGACCTGTACTTTGCTGAATTTGGGAGCTAAAATTTGCCATTTGCACTGTTCATGGATTTTTCCATGGTTTTACTCGATTTTTCTATGGTGTTCATTGATTTACCCAAAGTATTCAGCGATTTTTCCATGGTTTTCAATGAGTTTTCCATGGTTGCAATTGATTTTTCCATGGTTTCAATCGATGTTTCCTTGCATAACATGCACCCCGTGAACATGTAGAAAATAGGTTGAAGCACAACCCTGTTGGATCTAAATAATGGCATGGGATGCTATCATAGTGTTGGTGGGTTTAGGGTTTATTTAATTTAGTGTTGGTTTAAGTTTTATTCAGGGTTATTTAGGGTTGGTTGAATGTTTATTTAGGGTTTATTTAGGGTTGGCTTAGGTTTTATTTAAAGTTATTTAGGGTTGGTTTTGGGTTGGTTCAGGGTTTATTTAGGGTTGTTTTTTTAAGGTTGGTTTAGGGTTTATTTCGGGTTGGTTTATGGTTGGTTTAGGGTCATATTTAGGGTTAGTTTAGGGTTAGTTTAAGGCTTGTTTAGGGTTGGCTTAGGGTTATTTCGTTTAGGGCCAGGGTTGGTTTAGCGTTTATTTAGGGTTGGTTATGTCGGGTTGGCTTAGGGTTTCTCTAGGTTGGTTCAAGGTTTATGTAAAGTTTATGTAGGGTTGGTTCAGGGTTTATTTAACGTTATTTAGGGTTGGTTTAGGGTTGATTTAAAGTCTGTTACGGGTTGGATTGAGGTACATGTAGGGATACACGGTGTGTGTGTGTATATAAAGATAGATATAGGTAGGTAGGTAGGTAGGTAGGTAGGTAGTTGGTAAGGAAGTAAGCAAGCAAGTAAGTAAATAAGTTAGTTAGTTAGTTAGTTAGTTATATAGTTAGTTTGCTTCTTTGTTTGCTTGTTAGCTAGTTAGGTAGTTAGGTAGAAAGATAGATTAGGTAGAATTTTTAGATACTTTAGATACTTTAGATACTTTAGATACTTTAGATACTTTAGATAGATACTTCTGATGGATACTTTAGATAGATTAGATATATATAATAAGATAAAATAAGATAAAATCCGATAAGGTTAGATCAGAAAAGATAAGGTAAGGTTAGATTAGGGTAGGTTAGACAGATTAGATAGATAGGTAGATAGTTAGATAGGTAGATAGATAGATAGATAGGTAGGTAGATAGATTAGATAGATTAGATTAGATTGATTTGATTAGATTGGCTAGATTAGATAGATTAGATTAGATAGATTAGGTTAGGTTAGATTAGATTAGATTAGATTAGATTTAGGTTAGGTTAGATTAGATTAGATTAGAATAGATAGATAGATAGATGGGTAGATAGATAGATAGATAGATAGATCGATAGATAGATAGATAGATAGGTACATAGGTAGATAAATAGGTAGATAGATAGATAGATAGGTAGATAGATAAATAGATAGGTAGATAGTTAGATAGATAGATGGATAGATAGATAGAAAGATAGATAGATTAGATAGGTTAGATAGATTAGATAGATTAGATAGATTGGATAGATTAGATAGAATAGATAGATTAGATAGATTAGGTAGGTTAGATAGGTTAGATAGGTTAGATAGGTTAGATAGATTAGATAGATTAGATAGATTAGATAGATTAGGTGGGTTAGATAGATTAGATAGATTAGATAGATTAGGTAGATTAGATAGGTTAGATAGATTAGGTGGATTAGATAGATTAGATAGATTAGATAGACTAGATAGATTAGATAGATTAGATAGATTAGGTTAGATTAGATAGATTGAATAGATTGGATAGATTAGATAGATTAGATAGATTAGGTTAGATTAGATAGATTGAATAGATTGGATAGATAGATTAGATAGATAGATTAGATAGATAGATTAGATAGATTAGATAGATTAGATAGATCAGATAGATTAGATAGATTAGAAAAATTAGATAGATTAGGTTAGATTAGATAGATTGAATAGATTGGATAGATAGATTAGATAGATAGATTAGATAGATAGATTAGATAGATTAGATAGATTAGATAGATAGATTAGATAGATAGATAGATAGATAGATAGGTAGATAGATAGATAGGTAGATAGATAGATAGGTAGATAGATAGATAGTGAGATAGATAGATAGATAGATAGGTAGGTAGGTAGATAGATTAGATAGATAGATAGATAGATAGATAGATAGATAGAGAGGAAAGAGATGATAGAGAGGATAGAGAGGATAGAGAGGATAGAGAGGATAGAGAGGATAGAGAGGATAGAGAGGATAGAGAGGATAGAGAGGATAGATAGGATAGATAGGATAGATAGGATGGATAGGAAAAATAGGATAGACAGGATAGATAGGATAGATAGGACAGATAGGGTAGATAGGGTAGATAGGATAGATAGGATGGATAGGATAGATAGGATAGATAGGATAGATAGGATAGATAGGGTAGATAGGGTAGATAGGATAGATAGGATAGATAGGATAGATAGGATAGATAGGATAGATAGGATAGTAGGATAGATAGATAGATAGATAGATAGGTAGATAGATAGGTGGATAGTTAGATAGATAGATAGAATAGAATAGAATAGAATAGAGTAGAGTAGAATAGAATAGAATAGAATAGATTAGAATAGAATAGAATAGGATAGGATAGATAGGATAGATAGGATAGATAGGATAGATAGGACAGATAGGACAGATAGGACAGATAGGACAGATAGGACAGATAGGACAGATAGGACAGATAGGACAGATAGGACAGATAGGACAGATAGGACAGATAGGACAGATAGGACAGATAGGACAGATAGGACAGATAGATCGATAGGACGAAGGATCGAAGGATCGATTAGGAACGATTTTAGGATCGATAGGCATTCGATTAGATTCGATAGGATCGATTTAGGATCGATAGGATCGATTAGATCGATGAGGATCGATAGGCTCGATTCGGATCGATTAGGAATCGATAGGTCGATTAGGTCGGATAGGATCGATAGGCTCGATAGGATAGCTAGGAATAGATAGGACAGATAGGACAGATAGGACAGATAGGACAGATAGGACAGATAGGACAGATAGGACAGATAGGACAGATAGGACAGATAGGACAGATAGGACAGATAGGACAGATAGGACAGATAGGACAGATAGGACAGATAGGATAGATAGGATAGATAGGATAGATACGATAGATAGGATAGATAGGATAGATAGGATCGATAGGATCGATAGGATCGATAAGATCGATAGGATCGATAGGATCGATAGGATCGATAGGATCGATAGGATAGATAGGATAGATAGGATAGATAGATCGATCGATCGATCGATCGATAGGAAGGATGGATGGATGGATGGATGGATAGATAGATAGACAGACAGATAGATAGATAGATGGATGGATGGATAGAATAGATAGAATAGATAGAATAGATAGAATAGGATAGATAGGTAGATAGATAGATAGGTAGATAGATAGACAGATAGATAGATAGGATAGATAGGTTAGATAGGTTAGATAGGTTAGATAGGATAGATAGGATAGATAGGTTAGATAGGTTAGATAGGTTAGATAGGTTAGATAGGTTAGATAGATTAGATAGATTAGATAGATTAGATAGATTAGATAGATTAGATAGATTAGATAAATTAGATAGATTAGATCGATTAGATAGATTGAATAGATTGGATAGATAGATTAGATAGATAGACTAGATAGTTAGATTAGATAGATTAGATAGATTAGATAGATTAGATAGATTAGATAGATTAGATAGATAGATGGATAGATAGATAGATAGAA